CCTGGGTGGCTCAGTGGGTTAAGCCTCTGCCTTCAGCTCAGGTCATGATCTCAGGGTCCTGGGATCAAGCCCCGCATCAGGCTCTCTGCTCAGCGGGGGGCCTGCTTCCCTCTCTCCCGACCTGCCTCTCTGCCTACTTGTGATCTCTGTCAAATAAATAGATAAAATCGTTAAAAAAAAATAAGACAAAACTCACAAACCTGACACAGCTCTTTTGTGCATAATAACATCCCAGCCCCCCTGGGAGGGGAGAGTCTAGATTTTTGCTTATTTTATGCCTCCGGCTCACTTGCCCTGAGCCTTCACCATGTCTCCAAGGCAGGCAGTCAGCCGTCTTGAATTCAGATCCGATCTCCAGTGAAATGAACACCGGGACATGGACATCCTTTGACTAGACGTTAGTAAAACGGGACAGAGAAGATGTTTTCTCTCATTGGAGGCTGGCGGGCATTTTGCTTGTGCTTTTGTTTCTCTAAACCGTAGTCCCAGCTCCAGCTAGTGAAAGCCGAGGGAGGAGAGTCTGTGGGTCTGCAGGTGGAAGCTGGATTCCTTCCTTCAGGGGACAGGGACTCAACGCAGGGATAAGCCTTCCCAAGCGCTTCCGAGCCGGGAGCCCCGTGTGGGGAGATGCTGACAACGTCCCAGAGTCCCGGGCTCTCAGGCGGGCACAGCCACCGAGTGCCCACACGCTGCGGTTAGCCAAGTGGTTTCAGCTCCGCTGTGAAGCTTCTGTCGCTGCGTGGCTGCCGGCTCCTAAAGAGTGCCCGGGGACGGGGGGCTCTGAGGGGCTCTGGGGGGACCTCTCAGGGAGGAGGCTTTGTGCGGCATTTCCCAGGGTTTGTCTCTGGGGGTGGGGTCCCCAGATGTGACATCTGTCCGTGTGGGTCTGTGGTAGGCTTTCTGTGGGTCTCTGGGTGTGAGTCTCTGGCAGAGATCTCTGTGTAGGGTCTTGCTGAGGGGTCTCTATGGAGTCTCTGTGTGGGTCTCCGTCAGAGGTCTCTGTGTGGGTTTCCATCAGAGCGATGTGTGGGGGGCCCCGGAGGACGATGTTGGGCTGGGAGCAGGACACGCGGGGGGGGCGCCCTCCTAGACTGCACACTCCTTCTGGATATGTCCCTTCCAGCCGGGGGTGGGACAAGCCCATCTGAGGGCCTCCTGCCCCTCTGGGCTCTGGGGTAACCAAGACCGGGAGCCAGGCCAGTCCCTTGGCCTCTGAGTCCCCACTAGTCCCCTGGGAGCCGTCCTTGGGCCACACGTGTACGTAAAGATCACAGACCACAAGTCCATCCCAGGACCCGCAGACCTACAAGCTTATCAAATTGTGCATAAGTTCACTTCTCTGCCTGAAGGCCTTGCTGCCTCTGGGCATCTGGCCATCCTTGTGGGAGCTCAGGTGGCTTCTGGACACCCCCCCCCCCCCCCTCCCCCCCCCTCACCCCTGGACTTGGCAGCTGGAGTGGGGCGGAGACCCTGCAGGGACAGCCCCAGGGCCTCTAACTTCTCCCCTCTGGGCCCTTGGGTGGCAGTGGGACACCAAGGGTCCTCAGTTGTCACACCAGGCATAGGCACACCCTGTCACTTGGCCTCCTTCCTGGCCTCCCACCCTAAGCACAGGCTCCCCCCGCCCACAGCCACACCCCCTCCATCCCCCAGAAGGGGAAGGGGGTGCTGGTGAGCAGGCCCCTTCAGTGCCCTGGAGCTGGGCAGGCTGGTCCCTGGGGGTCTCTGTGGCACCCCACACACACCCTCAGCGCCAAGAGCGAGCTCATCCCTTGCTGCTCCGAGTGTGAGAAGAGGGGCTCACGGAGCTAAGATGGGATTCCCTGGGGTGAGAAGGCTCCCGGGGAGGCCGTCCTCTACTCCCCGCAGGAGACTGTGGGGGGGGCAGGATTTCTCACCTCTGCCTCAGGGCCAGCCTTGTGTCTCCCAACTGCGGGCCCCACTGTGACCTAGGACTCCGTCTTCCTGGAGCCTGAGCGGGATTTCGGCCTCGGCAGACCCTCCCTCCAGCCACACAGCTCCAGGTGAGGGAAAGTAGGAGGATGGGCAGAGTGAGGTCCCGGTCTGGGTCTTGTTCACCTTGTCGTGGAAACCCCGAAGGAGACGAGGAAGGAGGCGGGGGTGGACCCCGCGGTCACCCGTCCTCCAAGGCCCCATTCGTTCTGGAAGCCAAAGCAGGCCCTCGGGGAGAGCGGACCCTGATCCTTCCCACCCCCCGCAGCAGGGCACACATAGAGGCCAGCACCACTCACGAGAAAAAGAACATGTATTTTGGGGAAGCAAAGTAATTGTGGCACAGAGAAGCCATTAGTCCATACAGGATGTGCTAATGTGAGAAAAAAAAGTTTTTCTCTGCACCGTTTGCGTTTTTTCTTGGAGGAAAGTTGTCCTCCCAGGAAAGGCGTGGCTGGCCAGCGGCTGGCCGGGTGCGATGTATCTTTGAAGGAGGCAGTGCCTGGGGCAGTGCAGCTGCAGGGTGCGGTGTGGAGGGCCTGGCACCAGGGATCCGCACTGGCAGGGTCTGCCTGGGCCCCCCGGCACCTGGGCGGGGAAGGGCCACGCGATCCACTCGGTCTTGTTGGCATAGCTGTGGCCCCTGGGGGTTCCCTGTGGCCTGGCTGTCTCCCTCATCACCCTCCTCTGCTCTTGGTAGGAGAGGACCCTGTGGTAGCAGACACTGGGGTCTGCCGAAGCCTGGAGATCCTTTTGGCACCAGCTGAACTCCGGGGCCCGGAGTCCCTGGTGAGGCACCATTTTCTCCTCTAGGATCCGCCCCACAGCAGTCACGACCACCTGAGCCTCGGCAGAAGTGCTGTCCATGGCCGACCTACCCGTGGCTTGTCCCCGGCCCTGGGATGAGGAAGACTTGCCCTTTTGAAGGGAATCTTCCAGTCCTTTGCCTCTACTGGGAAGGAACCACTGGAGCAGGTGCTTCATCCTTCTCCTGAAGTAATTTTCCGGAGGCGCCGCCTCCTTCTTCAGCGAGATCTCACAGGCCTTGCTTCCCGAGGCCTCTGCTGACTCCTGGCTCTGGACGGGGCGTGTCACCTCACTGATCTGGAGGAGCTTCAGTTCGGACGACTGTTTGTCAGGCTCTCTTGAGGGGGACCTCCTGGAGCGCTCTCTCTCCTCGGGGGGGACACATGACCTGCTCAGGCTCTTCCATTGGTGCCGCAGTCCCGGGGGTCCTGGCTGCCTGTGGGGGCTCTGGCCACGGGATCTTGGGCCACGTGGCACCTGGGAAGTAGATGTGTCTTCACTGGATCCGCTCTGGAAGCCAGACAGACATCCCTGAGAAGCCAAGACGTCGGCAGTGAGGAACACGTTGGACTGACAGTCTTGAAGGAGAGGCTCAGTGGCACAGTCTTGAAGGAGGACCCCAGTCTCACAGTCTTGAAGGAGCACGGTGGGGCTGGCAGCCCGAGGCCGGTTCTCTGTCTCCATCAACTTCCGGGACTCCGATCCCCTGCACTGAGCCTCAAGGCATAGCTCTTCAGGATCTTGGGCAACCAACTTTGCAGGTGGTGGGGGGCTGTCACTTTTCCCTGAAGACCCTGATCTTCTCAGCTCGCCACAGAGGCCTTGGTTGTTGGCCAGCACACGGGGTTCTAAGGTGACTCCCCAGGCAGGGGCCTCCTCGACCTCCCCGGGCTCTTCGGCACTCAAATCCTGGGGCTCTAAGCTGAGCTCTAGCACGGTCACGTCCCGTGAGGCCCAACCCCCATTCGCCCTCCTTGGCTCCTTCGTGGCCGTTACTGGACTTGGACTTGACTCCAAGGTGCTGTTCATAAGAGTCCTCGAGGCAGTCTCACTGTGCCAGATTCTGCCCACAAAGCTGTATGTGAAGGTCCGAGAAGGTGGCCTGGTCCCCTGTCCAGCCAGAGGGCCACCCCCAGGTGCGTTCCTTTCCAGAGCCTGCTGGATTTCCTCACACATAGGCTGGGGAGCATCAAGGGGACCCCCCCAGGTGGGATAAGACTCTTTCATTACCTCTCCTTGATAGGGCTGAGGAGGATTTCCCACGAACTTGGTCCCTGAGCCGGCCTTGGATACACAGGTGGCTGAGAGGGGACCAGAGGACTGGGAGAGGAGGAAGCCCTTCTTCAACTTGAAAAGGTTTATGGGCTTGAGAACCTTGAGGGGGAGGCCCCACTGGTGCTTCACCCTAAGCCTTATGATATGTGCTTCTAGCATCCGCTGAGTGTATGGACTGAGGATCGAAAAATCGTGGAAGGTGGTCATGCAGCGTTCCCAACACTTGGAAAGTGCTGGCTTTCCAGGTTTCCTGTGAGGGCTTGGCTTTCCAGGAAGGTCCGAGGCGTGGTGGGCAGCGAGCCTGGAAGGAACCTGACCCTCTCCGGACTGCCCCAACTTCCTGAAATGGGCTCTCAGGTCTTTTACTGGGTGTTTCTCTTCTGTGCTGCTTGTAGAGGGCTTCAAGTCTGTGTCTGACTCCTCACGATTTCTTCCTGGAACCTTCCCTGGAGAGCTCGTCGTGCCCCTGTGTAGATCTTTCCGGATCCTCTCTGCACTGGACCTTGAATCCTTGCGCAGGCTTTTTCCTGGCACGTTCCTTCCTGGGTACCTGGACCCAGTCTTCTGCATGGCCTGGCAGCTTCCATCCGTAGACTCAGACTCAGACATGAGGCTGTGCCAGCTGCGTGCCTGGGGCACCTTCTGGGACTCTTGTTGAGGCTGTATCTTCAGGGATAGCTGGATCCTGCGGGGCGGGCCCCTTTCTTGCTTCATGAGCCTCTTCCAAAGGTGCCACTCCAGTTGCTCCCGGAGCTCAGAGTTGATCAAGTTCCCAGGAAGGACAGAGTCTGACCCATGGCCCTCGGGGGCCTGGCCACCCGGCGGAAGGTTGGGAGGACCTTGGCTAAAGACTTCCTGAGATCTTTTCACCACAGGGGGTACCTTGTCACTTTCTAGTTGCTTCTTCAGAAAGTGACATTCCAGGTTTTGAATGGCAGTTGACATGTAAGATGGTGTCTTCTGGGCTACAGGGCAAGACACCTCGCAGCTCCCCACATCCGGTGGCAGAGAAGGCGGTCCGACTGGGACAGAGGGTTCAAGGCTTGCCTGGGTCTGGGGCTGAGCTAGAGAGGGGAGCTGGGGCTGGTCCAGAGGAAGGGGCTGGTGCTGATCCAGAGGGAGGGGCAGGGGCTGGTCCAGAGGGAGGGGCTGGCGCTGATCCAGAGGGAGGGGCTGGGGCTGGTCCAGAGGGAGGGGCTGGAGCTGAGTCAGAGGGAGGGGCTGGGGCTGGGGCTGGACCAGAGGGAGGGGCTGGGACAGGGGCTGGTCCAGAGGGAGGGGCTGGGGCTGAGTCAGAGGGAGGGGCCGGGGCTGGGTCTGATCCAGAGGGAGGGGCTGGGGCTGAGCCAGAGGCAGGGGCAGGGACTGGGACAAGCTCAGGGTCAAGGGTTGGGGCGGGGCCAAAGGGTCCTTTAAGTCCTGGGTTAGGGAGAGGCGTGGAGCCAGGCTGGCCTGAATCTGGAGCGGCAAGGCATGAGAGAGCTCATTGAATATGACGGATGGGAGATCCAGTGGTGGATCGGTCACCCTGACAGTGGCCACCAGGGACTCGCTGTGCAGAAAGGGGAGACCCCAGAAGAGCTGGCTGCATTTCTGCTCCAAATTGTCCCCTGGAATCTTGGGATGTGGGGGCTTCTCAGGACCGAGCAGCTGTTTCGCTCTGCCCCTCATGCTCCAGAAGGGTGGGCAGCCCATGGTGTCCTGCCCGTCAGGTGGGGACTTGAGCATTCTCCCGAAAGACGTCAGCTGGTATTTTGACTTTTCCTTCTCCTTCCAAAACTTCAGTTCTGTTCTCTTGGTGGTGAGTATCTCCAGAAGCTTCTGGATGTCCGGGTTGATGGAAGGGGGGATCCTGGTCTCTCCCTGTCTGTGTGTGGGGTCTCCCCAGAACAAGGCCTCTAGTGGGCCGTGGGACAGAGGCGCCTGATGGGACTCCAAGCGTGCTGAGGTGGACAGGTTCCAGGCATTGGCGGGCGCCTGCCACCAGGACAGGGCCGAAATGGGGGAGCGTGAGCGGCCCAGGCCCGAGATGGCTGGGACAGGAGAAGCTGACCTGTCAGCTGACCAGGGCATGTGCGGAGCTAAGCTCTGGGGGATGGGGCACGGCGGGGGTGCCCTTGAGTCACACTGACAGAGAGTCAAAGGAGAGTCCGGCCGCTCTGGGGCCAAGGAGGCTGTCAGAGGCCCAGGGGAGGCCTCGGAAGGAGGGAGACATGGCGGGGAAGGGGGAAGAGCAAGGGGCTGGTGTGAAAAGCCATCCGGGGGGAGGAAAGGCTCTGCTGGCCAGGAAGTACTCAGGAAGGAGTGTGAACTGACAGAAATTGAGGAGGTCATTGGTCCTGATGGCAGGGTGGAGGCCAGAGGCTGAGGGGGGCCCGTCAGCGGAGCGTGGGCAGGTGATGGGGCCACGGCGGGAGCAGCGTCTTCCACAGGCTCCCTGCATGGCTGACGGGCTCCAGCTGGCGCCCCTCGGCGCACCGGCCCAGGGGCTGCTTGACGGAAGAACTGGTGAAAGCCGCCCTGGTCAGAGAGCCTCGCCAGGCGGCTGCGGGAGACAGGAGGCGTGAGCTGCCGCCGCAGCAGCTGGGGCCAGGAGCGTCCCCACGGCCCTCCACACCCCACACCCACATCACTATGCTCCTACTATCCCTCAGCCTGGGGCTTTGGTCAGTCTGTCCCCACGGCCCTCCACGCCCCACACCCATGTCACAATGCTTCTGCTATCCCTCAGCCTGGGGCTTTGGTCACAGTCTGTCCCCCTGGTTCCTCCCAGCACCCCCGAACAGCCCCAGAGGTGGTTTCTTGCAGTGCCTGGGTCACACCATAGACTCAGGGAGGCCCACCCAGGGGAGAAGGGGGCAGATTCTTTACCTTTGCAGAAGGGAGAACAGGTCCTGAACCTCTTCCAGATCCTGTAGGCAATCTCTGAAAACTTGAAACAGGAGACTGGGTCACAGAGGAAGGCGGGGCCCAGGGGTCTTACAGGAGGCTGGGTACAATGTCCCTTTAGGGGAGACCTTTGGGGGATTGGACTTGGAAGCCCCAAACAGCACTATCCAAGGCCACGTGCCCGCACGGTGATTACAGGGTTCATGATGGGGATCGCTTTGTCTTTTCCAAAGTGCTTCCTTGTTCATGACCGTGTTTGGGGAGGAAGGACCATGTGGCCTCACAGAAGAATCTGAGCAGAGTTGAACAGCTTGTCCACAGTGGGAGCAGGAGGTCCCGCCCCCAGTCCAGGCCCTGGGCCCCTGCTGAGCAATACTGGTTTCCAGCCCCTCAGGGCTTTGTTCTGCCACAGAATCTGGGAAGCCTCCAGGTTCTCCTCTTCCTCCCAGGAGCCCCCAACCCTCCACCCCAGGGCTCTGTTTCCTGAGGGATGGGGTCAGGCCCTGGTGTCCTGGAGACGGTGGGGCTGGGCCCTCAGAGCAGGGGGCACAGTGTAACTGGGGCACGCAAGGGTGAGGGGTGGACACTCACTCACCTTTCAGAGTCTGGTTTTTCTTCCTTCTGTTGCTCCTTCTCCATGGCTCCGCTTGGTACTGAGATAAGAGAAAACCAGGAGGCTGGGACTCCCACCCCAGCAGCAGGTGACCAGGTGCTCAGGGGCCTGACCTCTGCTAGAGAGGCAGCTCCTAACCTCTGGTCCTCGGCCACTGTCACTGTGTTTGAGACACTGTCCTGCACCCCTCCACCACACCTGGACCCAGCCTGAGATCTTTGGGGAGAAATCCTCGTGTCCCTCTAACCCCCGCCTGGTCTGGCTTGTCCTGGATGGACGGTGCTCTACCCTCTCCTGACAATTCTATCCATTCCCATCTCAGGAGTCTCTCCAGTGACTCAGAAAAGTGGAAAGAATAATAGAGAAGAAGATAGAATCACACTCTGCTGGGTCTGGGCCGAGGGTTCCTTACCTTCCTGCTCTTCCTGTGTTTCTGGAAATAGGAAAGTATGAGGAAGAAGAGCCCCAGTCCCCATACGGAGGCAAGGATGGTATTAACTGCCCAGATAGTGGGACTGGAGCTCAGCCAACCATCAGTAAGGAATTCCTGAGGAAAGAGATAATTCTCCATCTCTTTCCTCTGAAAAACATTAGTGTCTAATCGCACTGCTGCCCTCAGGCAACTGAGCCCAGAGTCAGTGTCCGATCGCACTGCTGCCCTCAGGCAACTGAGCCCTGGGTGTGTATGTGCAGACACAAGCCTCATGCTCACATCACAGAGCTGTGGTCTGGTCACAAAGGGCCCTTGAGGGCAGGTAAGGGACACAGGTACCTGGACCACATCCACTCTCCACTGCCAGCCCGTAGCTCCGTCATCCCTCCACCCTCCCAGGCCTGACACTCCTACCCGCTCACCCTGCTAGAGACAGATCTTTGTCAATATGCCTTTCATCCTGCGTGGAGCTCAGAGAATACCTGTTCCCCTTGGGATCTCCAGTTGGGCTCCATCAGTTTCATAGCTTTTAAAAATCTGGACTTGTCCTTGGAATTTTGGTTAATTCCCAGGGATTTTGCCCTCTGTCTGCAGCTCCAATCTCCCCACATAATATGTTGTTGCCTTGCATGACCCTAGTACAAATGAAACTCAAATTTCTTTGTGCTTCTTGAGCCATGTGCACTTTGAAAACATCTTAAGATGCTTCATTTCAATTAATCTTCACTAACTTCAGCTAGAGGGACTTAGAAAGCTAATGATTATTCCAAACTTCAAAGCTAAGTAAGTACAAACAAAGTGAAATAGTTAAACCTCCCAGGTATGTTTCTCAGTCATTTCTAGTGTTTTTCCCTCTCAGATGAGCAGAGAGTAAACTGCTGAAACACTTTCACAACATTCTGTGTAGGCACACTTGCACATGCTCACGCACATTTCTTAACAAATCCAGCATGTTCAAATCTTGGATTCAAGTTTTTTTTTTTCCCAGTTCAAAGATTTCCTTTAGTAATTCTTGTAAGTTTGTGTATTTGGGAATATATTTATTTTGCCTTCATTTTTGAAAGACAGATTTGCTAGGTATGGAATTCTGGGTTGACAATTTTTTTGAAAGACTTATTTATTTATTTGAGAGAGAGAGAGAGAGAGAGTGAGAGAGTGCATGCACTAGCAGGGGGAGGAGCAGAGGGAGCAGGAAGGAGACCCCCCACTGAGCAGGGCCCCTGACATGGGGCTTGATCCCAGGACCCTGAGATCATGACCTGAACTGAAATGAAGATTCAGATGCCCAACAGAATGGGCCACCCAGGCACCTGGACAAGTTTTTCTCGTTTAGCTTTTTGACTAGTGTCATTTCAGGGCCTTTCCCTCCTGCTTCTGGTTGGAAGTCAGTGGTTAATCTAATGCAGTCCTCTGTATATGAAGGGATGTTTTTGTCTTGCAATTTCAAAATTTCTCCTTTGTTTTTCCATGGTGTGACTGTGATGTATCTAAGAGCAAATCTGCTTGTTTTTATTTTACTGCAGGTAAATACTGACTCTATATTTAAGGGTTTCCATCAAATTTGATAAGATTTCAGCCATTATTTCTACAAATATTCTGTCTTCCTCCCCATTTCTCCTTTCTTTCTGAGAACACCCTTTAAGTAGATAAGAACTTCCAAATGAGTCCACATTTTCCCAGGCTTGCAGCGAACTGTTACTCAAAAGCCCAAGTTTCTCAACATTCATGTCAGTGTCTAGAAAGTAGCTTCAGTTCTGAGAATGTCTTGGGTATGGAGTGTTTTGCTGACATCATGGGAAGCTGCCTGTATGATGATGTCATGCCTGTGCCCATGGGCTCTGACTGTGGTGGGGCTGTGAGTTAGAGACATCACTTTGGAAAATGCTTCATCATGACCTGGTCCAAGCTGAAGAGAGCAGGCCTTTTGAAAGAGGGATTCTGCTGCTAGAGCTAGAGAAAACCCACCATTTTGTAGTAATAAGAAATGGGGACCACCCAGTCCTGTCGAGTGGAAGGTATGTGCTCTGCAGTATCGTGCTCAAGTTACAATGAACTACAGCAAAACATCATAAGTGTAAATTATGTAAACATGCTACTGAGGAAGAGATAAAAGTGACTTGCAGAAAAATTGTGCAGGATGGTTGCATTTGTTCTAGTTTCAAAACTATACAAAATCAAATATGATTTAGCGATGCATTTACTTTGGTAAAAATATAGAATAGTGAACAGGACTGATGGATGGGGGAGGGATGTACAGACAACTCTAAAGATGTGGATGATACCGCATTTCTTAGAAAGGTTGGGATGTCTACCATGGGTTACCCCCAGCTTTCCCACGATGGTAAGTGCTGACTGTCCCTTCAGGTGGTACATAATATCAGAAATGGAAAATAGTATTTAAACTCTTCAAAGATCATTGCTTTAATAAAAATGTACAATTTACTTAACAATTCTGAGCTCTGGCCCTCTCCCTAAACAGACCCGGGAAGGTAAGCTGTAGTCCATGGCTTGGCCCCTGAGCTATATCCATAAGTAGACAGCACCCCACAGACACCATCACGGTCACAGCCAAATTGACATCCAGCCATGCTGCCCAGAAATCCTGAAGCACCAGACATTGCCTTACCAACGCATTCTCTGATGCCAGGTTCATTGCTCCTGCCAGTTTTCATGTTCATGCTCTACGTAACGGCATTCATTCCATATTTGTGCCATAAATATTCAGAAGAAACCCAATGAGTGTTTATGAGAAGATGTCCTTGGAAATACTTTCCAAGGGAACATTTTTTAAAGGCAACAGATTCCCCCCCCCCACCCCAGAGTTTGGCATGTTTTGGAGGATGGGTTGTTCTCCACTCTCTTCATTATCATTTCAAAATCTGAGATGCCATGATGACTCATTGGCCTTTCACTTTGTTTAACTCTGCAGCCTTTCTTATTCTTTTTAAAAAAAGATTTATATATTTATTTGGGAGAGAGTGATAGAAAGCACAACAGCGGGGAGGAGCAGAGAGAGAGAGAGAGAATCTCCAGATGACTCCCTGCTAAGTGCTGGTTAGCCAAGCTAACCCTGAGATCCTGACCTGAGCTGAAATCAGGAGTCAGGCCCTTAACCCACTGAGCCATCCAGGTTGAGTATCAGCCAGCCACGGGTGTCCACATTTATTTCTTTGTTACGCATCTCCAACCTTCTCAATCTGATCCACTTCTTATGCTGATCAGGAAGCTAGTCAGATCTCCCAATCCATCCTGGGAACAGCTGATCCCAGAGCCATGCGCCCTGGACCCGGTGTGAATTCCAGTGTGAGTCACCTGGCTTCTGAGCTTCCTAACCAGGCTCTTCTCCATGAGAGGATACTGTGCTAGCTCGGGGGTGAGAGTCATTCTTAATAATCACAATTGTGGCTGACACTGCTATTCTTTATGCTCAGGCTTATGCTGAGTGTGTGACAGATGGTCTATCAGCAATTCCACAAAGGAAAGAAAACCACGGCTGAGCTCTTCAGCGGGTAGCTCTCTGCCAGAGGATCAAACCCAGACTGGCTTGCTCGGAGTTTGGGGAAACCCAGCATCCTGGCTCCATTGCCTCCAGGAGAAGCAAATCCCATGCTCATGTTTTGTTGATGTCTGGTTGTATGTCCCTTCTTAGTTGCAGTTGTGTATGTTTCTTATTTGATTAATTTTATTCTTACGATCACTTTGCCTACTACTTCATGCAGTTACTGGATTTTCATTTTGTTTCTTGTTTTTTTTTTTTCTGGGTTTTGGTATATAGCCTAGTCCTTTTCTATACTTTCTTTGAAGGTGCTTGTTGAGAGTTTATTACAGACTTCTATTAGAATCTTTATAATTAATAACCAAGGCACATCCCAATAATTTCTGAGTAAATATGATGCCCATCTTCCATTCTTTATTTATTTTCTTAATTACAAATGTGAAGTACTTTCTGTAGTAGGGTTTTAGAATGTGTGTGTGTTTGTGTTTACTGAGAGAGAAAAAGAGAGATAGAGACAGAGATAGACACAGAAAGAGAGACTTTTATTTTAAAGAATTTGCTGACTGTGAAAGCTGGCATGTTTGAATTCTGCAGATTGGTGGCAGACCAAGCTGATGTGTCAATTTGAGTCTGAACCCTGCCTGGAGGCAGAACTCCTTCACACTTGGGGGACCTCAATCTTTTCTTTTAAGGCCTTCAATGATTAGATGAGGCCCACCCACATTATGGAGCATAATCTGCTTTTTTTCAATATTTAAGTGAAAATTACATATAAAATAATACCTTTGCAGTTACATCCAGATATGTATTTGATCAACTATCTGGGTCCTCTGGCCTACACAAGTTGTCACATATAATTAACCATCACAATTAACCCTTGTCAACTTAGGACCCATACACATCTCTTCAAGTCATGCTTAATTTCCAAATAAAGACAATAACAAGGTTATACTTCTGTCTATCATGATGCAACTATCTTACATACAACTTAGAATGCACTAATACATCCCCTAGCAGAGAATACAAAGTCGTTGGAGATGTTCCTTCTTCTGCCTGATAACCTGTAACTTCAATACTAGGGTGCAAACTCCATACGTCATATGTTCTCTGATAAGAGACCAAGAGAAGGAAGAAAAGAGATGGACCAACACAAAAATACTCATAACAAAATAACAAAGAAATTCTCATAAGAATTAGAGTCCTGGAATGCCCGGGTGGCTGAGTTGGTTAAGCATCCGACTCTTGGTTTTGGCCCAGGTCATGACGTCAGGGTCATGGGATTGAGTTCCACATTGGGCTCCATGCTCAGCATGGAATCTGCTGGAGAGTCTCTCTTTCTTCTGCCTCTGTCCCACCCCCGACTTGCACTCTGAACAAAGAAACAAACGAAAAAATCTTATGAAAAAAAGAATTAGAGTCCTTATTTCTGTAACTGGTCACATGGTCATAGCTGGTATTGTACCTGCTACTCCGGCTGCTTGTTCTACATTACATTTGCCGTGAACAAGCACCTCATCTGGTCATGATTCTTTATCTGGTGGAGTGACCCAACCCTTCATTCCTGAGTTTTCTGGACTACCAGTAGTCCTGCCTGGAATGGGTGGTTGTCATTTTTCACTGACATTCGCTCCAGAGCTTGGTGGAATCTCTCATACTGCAGACATGCCCTCCATTTCCTCCATGGTGCCCTCCATTTCCTCCATGGTGCCCTCCATTTCCTCCATGGTGGATTAACAGTCTCATTTTTCTGCATAGTCAGGATAGTTAAACACCTTAACTCTCATTTTATGTGTTTATTCAAAGGCATGAAGAGCCCAAGGTGGCCGAGCAGCCATCTTCAGTTCCACTTTAATGGAATCACAGTATGTCTCCTGGTGGTAGCATTCTTCCCTTTGAGTGAGGGTCTCTAGATCTGCAGGGCATGAGGTCACAGAAACACAAGGATCAAAGATTTCCTAGTGACGTCACTAGGGTAATACAGGTGTCCCTCCATTTCTAGCGCTAGCTTCATGGACCCGTGAATCCTGACTATGGGAGAAAGAGCATCACATACGGGCACATTGATTCAGAGCATACCTAGTCTCCTGAAGAATGTTGCCCCAGGACAAATTTTGCCTGCAAGTGATTGCCACCCAGCCAGCTCTGTAACTGATTCTTCAAAAGGCCATTTCATTGTTCTAGCAAGCCAGTTGCTTCGGATGGTGGAAAGCATGGTACGACCATGAATTCTATCATCATGGGCTCACTGCTGCCCTTCATCTGCTATGAAACACATTCCTTGACCAGGGGCAACACGGTGTGGGACACCATGCAAATGGGTAAAGCATTCCATAAGTCCAAGGATAGTAGATTTAGCAGAGGCACTGTTTGCAGGGAAGGAAACTACATATCCAGAGCAGGTGTCTATTCAGGAAGAACAAAATAAACACCTCCTCTTCCGTGACAAATGTGGCCCAGTGCAATCAAACTGCTACGGGGCAGCTGGCAGGTCACCCTGGGGTACAGCGCCATGTTGGACTCTACTGGTGGCAGATTGGGCGCTCAGTGGTGCTTCATAACTTGGTTGGGTTTGCTAAGTGGAAAGATGTGTTGCTGAGCCCATAATACTCTCTCCCACCACAGCCCTTTCTTCATGATCCCTTTGAGCAATGGCAGGGATGGCTGGGGTCCACAGACAAGTCATCCTATGTACTTGCTGATTAAATGCCTCCTGTGCTGAGCATTCTCATGAGACATAAATGTCTCCACAATTTTTAGCCATCCAGAGAATTCCATCCATAGACCTTTCCCCAGTTTCCCTTGCCACCTATTTTCCAATTGTGCTCAAGTCCTTGACCATCCAGCCAAAGTGTGGACAGCAGCCCCTGAACTGGTATAGAATTGCCTGTCTTGCCACTTTCCCTTTCAGGAAAGGGAATTCCTAGGCACACTGCTTGAAGTTCTGCACCCTGGGAGTATTTTCCTTCATGGAAGTCCCAGACAGGGGCTGCAGGGAGGTGACCATCATTTCCAGGTGGTGCCTGAGTACATGCCAGGAGCATCTCTGACCCGGGTACGATTTTTCTCTTCTTCTGTCACCTGACCGCAGGTAACTCTCAATGAGGAGGCCTTAGGCCCATAATGGGAAGGAAGGCAGTGGGTTGGGAGTGGGGAACCACGCACCCTTGGACAGCTTCTTTGTGTACTTGCATGCCCAGGATTGCCTGGGCCCAGCCATGTGTATAGCAGTCCCACTGCACGATGGAACACTGCTTGAAATGTTCTACTTTGTGGCATGGTGGGTCAGGTGACAGCCGCCTGATGGCTGAGTGTCACTGTGCATCATGTTCAGGTCACCTTTTAAGTGGGCAGCCCAAGGTTAAGTTAAGGCCCTCTAATAGGTCTTGAGCTGTTTCTCAAAAGGAACAATTATCCAAAGACAATGGTGGGGCTTGATCCCCAACCCCTAAGGTCCTGCACTGCAGATCACCTACAAGAACCAGCCAAAGCTCCAAATAGCAATCCTATGTGCCCTCGGAGCTGCGGGGTCATGTGGACTGAGTGGCCGAGCAGCTCTCACAGCAGCCTGGACCTGATGCAGAACTTTCTGTCATTCTGGGTCTCACTCAAAACGAGCAGCTTTTTGGGTCACTCAATAAATGAACTGGAGTCCCACATCTAAATGAGGACTGTTTTGC